CACTAATTTGAAAAGATATATGCACCCCTATGTTCATTGAAGCATTATTTACAATAGCCAAGATATGGAAGCAACCTGTGTCTATTGATAGACAAATGGATAAAGAAGATGTGGTACATATATAAAATGGAATATTTCTCAGCCATAAAAGAAATGAAATCCTACTATTTGCAGTGACATGGATGGACCTAGAGGTTATTATGCTGAGTGAAATAAGTCAGACAGAGAAAGACAAATACCATATCATTTCACTTCTATGTGAAACCTGAAGAACAAAATAAACGAACAAACAAAACGAAAACAGACTCAGATATAGAGAACAAACTGGTGATTGCTAGATGGGAAGGGATTGGGGGCCTGGGTGAAAAAGGGGAAGGGATTAAGAAGTACAAATTGGTAGTTACAACACAGTCACGGAGATGTAAAGTACAGCATAGGAAATATAGTCAATATCATCGTAAAAACTATGTATAGTGCCAGGCGGGTACTAATCTGGGGGATCACTTCATAAATTACAAAAATGCCTAAACACTATGCTGTACACCTGAAACTAATATAAACTAATACTAAATGTCAACTCTAAATGAAAAATAAAAAAATAGTCACGGGGATATAAAGTATAGCACGGAGTATATAGTCAATAATATTGTAATAACTATGTATGGTATTGGAAGGGTTCTATATTTATCGGAGTGATCACTTTGTCAAGTTATATAAATGTCTAATCACTGTTATACACCTGAAACTAATATAACATTGTATGTCAACTGGAATTGAAAAATAAAGTTTATGAAAAAAAGTAATCATCAGGAAGCCTAGGGCCTTTGTCTCCCAGTCTTGAGAGCGGATAGACTCTTAACTTCAATAATTGTAGCTAGCAGACACAGCTGGCCTAATTGTACTTACAGTGACCAATCCTTTGCAATTTTTCACTTCCTGGACTCTACTGAGCCCCTGCTTACTCCTTTCCTTCCTTTAAAATGCCCAGTCACCTCCGCACAAATGGGAATGGGGCTCATCTCTTTCCCCTCGCGGCAGCAGTGACTGAATATAATCTGTTTTCACTGCTTTAACTACTGTCTGGCTTTGTGTATCTTTGATACTACTTAAATCTGTATTGCTGGCTCCTCCCCTAGAGTTTGATTATGGAGGTCTGGGCTGAGGCCTGAGAACTGACATTTCTAATAATTTGTAGGTGATGCTGATATGCTGGTCCAGGGAGAACTAGTGCCCTGGCTCATGGACTTTATTCACTGGATATGATTTTCTAGTGATATAACTTCCTCTAAACCTCATTTGACTGCCTGTATATTTCTTTAGAGGGGACTCAGAATGCTAATAATAAGTGCCAAGAATCTTGTCAAGTTTAGCTCTTTGAATCTTCAAATCTGCTAAAGGGAATAAACTGGCTCATCTTGTTGCAGCCTCTGTTTCTTAGCACTCTACCTAAGGATTTGGCTCATTCTCCCTGGCATTCTGCTCAATGTCTTCAGCTTGAAGCTTGAACAGGAAATAACAGGCCGAGTTCAAGACTGTGAAGCCTCTTCTTTTTCTGATCTGCTCTGGGAATGTTACACTTACCCCCTCCTTCATTGCATTCTAGCTGAATGTATTCACAGAGTGAGACATCGTCACATTTGGGGGAGTTGGAGAACAAGGGATACTATGGAGGCTTATACAGATAACCTCATTCCAATTTCCTAGATGCCAATTTCCTAATCAGTAAAACACCTTTATATTAAATTTATTGGGGTGATGTTGATTAATAAAATTATATGGGTTTCAAGTATACAATTCAATAATACATTATCTGTATATTGCATTGTGTTCACCACCCAAAGTTAAATCTCCTTCTGTCACCATGTATTTGACCCCCTTTATCCTTTTCTACCTACCCCCACTTCAGTGATACACTTTGAGAGTTCTACTGTAAGTCAGTAAAACCCATAATTATCTGACCCTCGGCAACTGCAGATCTCTTAATACAGGCACGAGGTCTGCTCTGTTTTGAGTGCCAGGAGCAATAAGCAACTGCTTCACTGCCAAATAACATAGAATGCCAACTTCCCATTAATTGATATGGGATATCAGCGATCTCTGCCAGTTCCATATTTTAGAGTCTGTAATTTGCCACATGCCATTTCTGGTACCAGTTCCTGAATAATAATAATAATAATAATAATTATTATTATTATTATTATTATTTGGTCATAAGTAGTTTCTAACCCAACTGTGTCTTAAACAAAACTAGTAAGGATATTGGTTTGCCTCAGAGAAACCAAAGGCAAGAATGCCTCAGGAACAATCTAGAACTTGGGACTAAAATACAATGAAGACTCCCTATCTCTTGTCTCTGCTCTGAGAGTCTGCATTTTTCTTCTCTTTCTGCAGATCAGCATCTGTTCCTTCTGTCTCTCTTGTGGGAAAATTGACTTCTGACAGCTTACACGTTTTACACTTAGAGGAAAAATGATCTCTCTGGTCCAATTCTAAATTTCTAGGGAATGAGATTCCGATTGACCCAGCTTGGTTTAGTTGTCCACCTGTGACCCAGTCAGCCATGTGTACAGGAACATGGCAGTTTTTGCTGTACTCTGTAAATTGGGGGTGGATTAATTCCTAGAAAAGGAGGGCTGAACAGACAATCCAATAGGTATCCATTATACTAGAAAACCTCTATTCCTTCCCTTCTTCATCCCTTCAAGCCACAACTCTCTTCTTCCACTGCTAGTTTTCAAAAGAGTTACCTATGTGCACTGCTTTGCCATCTACTTACTCTTTGCCAATCTGGCTTGTTTTATTTCCACTATTCTTTTATGATAAACTCCTTTATGGAGCTTGAAGCTTTTTCAGCTTTTGCATCCTGTTAGACTGTTCTCAGACTTCATTCATCTTGACTACTCTTAAGTTCTGCACGTTTGGGTTCTAACTCTGCCTGCAATTCTCCCACCTCTCATTAAGTTCTAAACCCGATCTGCTACTACTCACTGTTACAGATCTTTTTTTCTGCCCTTATCCTACTGAAAGAGTGGGCCCTAAAAGCCAGTCAGAAGACTGGTGTAGCTACATCAGAATCAACTGAGGAGCATGTCGAAAATATATTTTTTTACAAAATTATGATTCCGTACATCTGGAATTGTATTCCTTACGGTTATTTTGCTAGAACTCCCTGACACATTGATTCACAGTGAGGTTTGAAAACAGAGGTCCTAACCATAGGACACTGTAGCTCAGTGAGTACCAAAAAGGTACGACTTGTTTGTGTTGGTGCTTGCCTCCCTAAGGAGATCTTGAGGACAAAGGAGACTCATTTTTTCCTCTGCATTGCCTTGAGTCAATAATGTAAGTTTCCCATTCATAAATTAAGACCAACAACTCTTTTTCGAAGAATTGCAGTAGCTAAAGTGGATTGCTACAGAAATGTTGGCGGTTATTAATTTCATCTTCCATAAGTGTCCTTTCTCATTCATTAAAAGCTACACATATTATTTTTTTCCCCTGAAAGTAATATTACCCCTCCTAGAGAATTTTAGCATACTTTCACTGGATTAAATTAATCCACTTCCTTTCCCATGATACACCACTTTCCCCCCAAAACTCCTTTTTCTGAGAAAGGCGGTAAATAGCCTGAAGCAATTTGGTGAATGCCAGGAATTGGAGTGCAAATACTAAACACATTATTACCGCGCCCCGCCATTTGTGACCCTGCGAGTGCCAGGGCTGACAGGGGTGGTAATCTTGTTCTTCGAAATGTATCACAAGGCCATAAACACTACAACTCCCATGATGCCCTTTCGGTCCCGCCCCGTTCCCCCTCCTTCAACTAGAAAGCGTGTACCATCGAGAAGACGAGGCAACATGGCTCCCGGAGGTGGACGGAAGAGGCTTCTCCACTTCTGAAACGGTGAACGGCGGACGGAGAGGAAAAAAAAGAAGTGACTAGAACCCGTCATCGCTTTAATCCTCTCAGCCTCTCCTAAATCCGGTCGGCCTCACCCCCTCCTCTCCACCCAAATCCAATCTGTGGTCTCCTCCCCTCCCTCACTCCCTCGCTTGCTCACCCCTCCCCTCGGGAATCCTTTTCCCGCCCCCTCGCCCCCAGCTTCGCGCCCAGACCGTCGCCTAGCTTGTTCGCGCAGCCGCCGTCTCGTCTGCCCGCCGACGAAGCATGGGCGTACAGGGCTTCCAAGAGTTCCTGGAGAAGCGCTGTCCCGGGGCTGTGGTGCCCGTGGACCTCCTCAAACTTGCGCGCACGGTCTCGCGCCAGCAGCAACAGCACCAGCATCGGCAGCTGCCACCTTCGGCAGCCCTAGCGCCCGGGGGTCCCCGCACCGCCAGGGGCTCCGCTCCTCAGCAGTCGCCGCTTCCTCCCGTTGCCTTGGGTGCCTACTCCGGGGGCGCGGGGCCGACTCGCCAACATCACCCCGCTCACCACTTCAACCACCACGGCCAGGCACATCCCGGGCTACACCCGCCGCCGCCGCCGCTGCCGCCGCCCGCTCCGCTTCCCGGGGCTCGGGTGCTGGTAGACGCGGGCTCGGCGCTGCCGCGGCTTTATGGTGGCTACCAGACGGATTGGGTGTGTGGCGGCCAATGGAACGCCATGCTGGGCTACTTGTCAGCGCTATGCCAGGCTTGTGCCTATCCCGGCGGCGACGGCCTGGAGCTGGTGGTCATGTTCCCTGGGGGCCTGGGCAAGGACCGGCTGGCCGAGTGGGGCCGTCGGTGCCAGGCCGAGCGGCAGACAGCGCAACTGATCGTGGGACACGTGGGCAACAAGGGCACCCCTCCTCCACGGGCCTGGTTCCTGCCACCGGCCTGCCTGAGCCACTGCGTGAGGCTAGCACTCATCCGCTTCCGGGTCAAGGTGAGGGAGGGGCCGGATCTTTCATAATAAGCCCCACACCTATTCCCTCCCAACTAAACACCTAACCACCCACCCACTTACCTGCTTCCCTTCTCACCGCCAAATCAGCTAACCCACTTGTCTAACTACCCTGGATCATTTTATCCATCTACCAACCCCTTCATTCCACCCCCCTACCGATTCTCTCACTTTCCTAACTACATCACCATGTCATCCCAATAACCCCCTTTACCTTTCGCTTACCCAGTTGTGTCCAGAGGTTTTAGCAGAATTTCTTTTGTAGCCCCATGTTTTCCTACTGTCTTCTGCTTCAAGCTGAAATGCCTTTTTCCAATTTTTTTGTTTTCTATAGCCTCTTTCCAACCTTGCAGCAAATCCGTTCAACAGATGTTAATTGAACTCCTTTCTTCTACAAGGATTTTTCCCATTTTGACCAAGTGCTTTATTTATACCTTTCTGTCCATTCAACCTTTATCATTTCAACATGTTTCTACCTCCTCCTGCCTTAGCCTGAACACACAAACAAAAAAACCCCTGATTCAGTTACTGTGCAACAAGTATTAACCCACTGAGAGTAAGAGATTTGTAAAGATATGTGAGGCATGGTCCTGCCCTTGGAAAATCAAATATATACACATGAAACATTTGTTTAATGGTATAAATGTGTATATGATTATGCTTTATGGTACAGATTGTAAGTACATTACCTGTTCTTCGTGTGTGTTGGGGGAGAAATCTAGGCTAAAATGGTCAGAGGAGGCTTCCTTGAAGAAGTTGGACCTCATTTGGATCTTCAAGGATAGGTTGGACTTGAATTGGTTATGGGTTCGGGAGGAAGCTGCTTTAAGTGGGAGAAAGAAAATGAGCAAAAGCAAGCGTGTGAAGCCCCAAGGGCAGTAAAGTCCAATCTCCACATGTAGTTGATCACTGCATATGGGGCCTGGGGAAGAGCTTGGCAGCATCCCTAGTTCTTGGCACCAATGCTGTTGCTCTGTTGCTTTCCCATACTCTTAGGTTTCAAGTTCCTACGTGTGGGGAATAGCAAGGCTTGAGAAGTAAAGGAGGTGGGCAAGAATAAGAAAAGAAGTACAGGATTGGGTAAGACAAAACCTCAAACCCATTCTCAACCAAGGCTCTTGGAGATGTGCTCACAGTCAAAAGGAAGGACAGGGAATTGTGGGACTCATAAACTAAAGAAATGGTTCTGCAGGAAGTAATGAAAGAAATCTCAGAGAGAATGAAAGACCTGCATAGAGAAGTTTGCAGTGGTCAGAGCTTGTGGCTAGAGTTCAGTCATGCTAGGCCCCTTGTCCAGCATCAAATCTGTGCCTAGGCTGGGTAGATTATAGTTGCTTTGAATAATAAAAAAAATTCAGTAATGAGCTATGTCAAACATACACAGTAGTAAAAAATAATATAAAAAGACACTCATTTTGTTGCCTTCTTGACTGAACATTTTTCAGTAGATTCATTCATGGCCATTCTTTTCACTTTGTTTTTATTGCTACCACACAAGGTTAAAGGACTTTTTACCTCATTGTCATTATTAACCTGGTTACTGGCAACAATGGCTAACATTGATGAAACACCATGTGCCAGGTCTAATCCATGTGCTTGAACAAAACCCATTTGATCCTCACAGTAACCTGTGAAGCAGTATTGTTTTCCAAATGAGGAAACAGGTACGAGAGAATTAGAAACTTACTCAAAGTCATGCAGCAATAAATGGTAGAGCTGGGATTCTGGGATTCATGCCCAGGCAGTCAGGCTCCAAAGCCCATGCTCTTTTAAACAACAGTGCTCTCTAAGAGGAATCTTTGTAAAGTGCCAATGTGATTAGATCATACACACTAGGCTAAAATCTTCCCTGGCTTCTGGGTAAAGACAGGTGTGGGTCATTGATTTATATTATTCATTTATTGAGTGCTTACTATAGGTTAGTAACTGTGCTAGTTGCTGAGGATACAGAGGTAAATAAGGGGATTCCTGCCCTCAAGGTCAGAGTTTAGTGAAAGAGCCAGACTGAAAACAATGTTGCAGTTACTAAGAGCTAATTGCAAATGATGAAAACCATGGCCCTTATGGGAGACATGGTTAATTCTTTTCTTTTTTTAATGCCTGCAGCACCTGATATTCCTAGGGGGTCTCCCGTCCAAGTACTAACCAGGCCCAGCCCTGCTTAGCTTCCGAGATCAGACAAGATCGGGCACGTTCAGGGTGGCATGGTCGTAGATGAGACATGATTAATTCTGGGTGAGGGTGTGAAAGTTGGAGGAGGCTTCACAGATTGGCACTGAGCCTTGAAGGGAAGGGGCTGGGAAGAATAGGTCAGATAGTAGACAAGGGTGTGGAGACCGAAAATGGCCTGTGAGCTCTGGATAGATTTTGATTGGAGGTTGGCAGGAGAGTTGAAAACTGAACATGGGTTTGTGGGTTCCAAACTTTTTGGTTCATGCACCCCATCAGTCAAAAGTTTTGAGAAGCAACACTAATATGGCTTACTGAAATTCTTCACCACACAGTCTCATTTTTTTAATTCCAGAAGTTCATCAAAAAATCAGATGGTTGGATGTGTGGGAAAGGAAATATAGTAAAAATGGTAGAATCTTGGTGGTGGGTATTCATGTGTTCACTATAAAATTATTTCAACTTTGCCATATGTTTTAAGATTTTCATAATAAAATGTTGGGGGCGGGGAATTCCCAGCAGTACTCTTTAGTCCTAAGGACCACCATTTGGGGAATATATAAATCTTATTCCCCATGCTAGATTATAAACAAACTTTGATTCTTTTTGTATTCTCCATAGTGTCTTGTATATTTTAGGTGCTGTGTACATTTTTTTTCTGAATGACTAGGTCTGTGATCTTAAGAGAAAGGAATGTAGAAATGACTTAAGGTGTGTGGTGTGGCTCTTAATATAGTAGATTTAAGACTGGCTCCAAAATTGCATATGTAAAGTATTTGTAGGTGTTATCAGTGAGTGAAGTTCTCTCTTGTGGTTCTGGTCAGTGATTTTTGTTGTTATTGTTATGGAGAACTTTCTAGTTCATAGCACAGAGTTGAAAGGTATTGGTTAATAACTGATTATGATATGCCTTTTCAGAGGAGTGTTCCACTATCTTGAAGATAACAGTTTTTCAGTTGGATGATCTGTATGTCTACCATTTCTTTTGACTGAAATGCCAGTGCTTCAGAACAAAACCCACTACTGTATTTTTCCTCCTGTTTTGGTTTTCAGACTAGGCCAAAGACGGGCCTTTATTTCAATCTCATTTTCATTTGTGATAGAGAAAATATAGATGGAGAGAGTAAATAAAAAATAAGTTGCTGTGTTGTCTGTTTAGCTTTAGACAAGGCAGGATTTCCCATGAAAAGATTCAGTATATGTTATTGGGATGAATTTTATCATTTAGTTGGTTTAATTTGTATATTCTACAAACCTTTTTCACTGCTAATCACCAGTAGCAGGAAAATTAAGTAAACTCACAAATTGCTACCCTGATCTCTCCCTGAATGTCTCAGAAGTAGAGCAACCTAAAACACTTTTAGAATGATTTGGGAGATGATGTGGGGTAGTTAAGGGAATGAATGCTTTGTTTAATGGTTTATGTATTAGGGGAAAAAAGATAATAACATCAAACCCACCATTTTACAACTATAATTCTTTAGAATAGGGCCAATTAAAAATGAATTGATTCGAAGAAACGTATTAAGGTGCAGTACTTTGATGTAGCAGAAATCATGGTGGTACATAAATGACCAAAGTTTGAGAAGTCCAAGCAAGAGCTGATGTCATTTTGTGCTTTGTTCTCTAGAATACAGTATAGCAATGGCTGCTATGCCTCCTGATGATAATACTTACAGATACATCCTGAAAAGTCAGTGACTCTTCTAGGTGCTCTAGTGGTAGGAAAAATCATAATAGTAATTTTTACTATTTCTTGAGCACCAAGTT